ACTTTTGAGTTTTTGGAGTCAGTTGCTGCTGTTAAAGTTTGAATCGCGCGTGAATGTTTTGTATAGTGTTATAGTGACAGCTGGAAGTGCAGATAAGACTGTTTTGGGACGGGTTGAGAAAGAAGGTGTCCGATTTCACATGTTGGGAAATGAAGACTGCGAGCAGATGGGAACGTCTGCGGGACTGTGGCGTGTTGTTCACACTGCTGATGGAAGCTGTGGTGCAATGCTTGAATAATGTAGAAAATCACATCCCCTTCAACCCTAACATAAACTTCACATCGCATCTCTGTGTAAATATTTGAATATTTCTGGAGGAGCTCGAGGTTGCTTAGTTGCCTTGAGTTAAGATGAAGTTTAAAAAATGGTTATCAACAAAATTAGTCACTAAAATGAAGACGGAAAAGAAGAAATTGTTTTATTTTGCAGGATCATACAGTAAAAATGGAATATGGACTATTAAAACATCTTTAAAATGAGGTTTAATGACTATAAAGTGTCAAGTTGTGTATCCATTAAAAATAGCATTATATTCCAAAGTGTTATTGCATGACAACAACATTATTTTAAGTGCATAATATATATATATATATATATATATATATATATATATATATATATATATATATATATATATAACAACATCACTTTTTCCTAGGAATGGTTTGCATTTTAATGAGACATATTTCTTTTTTTTTAGACAGAAAATAAGGAGTGTTATGTTACTGACCCATTTATATACAGTATGTAGGCTATATGGGTCATTGATACAATTTTTTTTAGGGCTCGTATGTTGCTGTCATTCAAGCGAAATAAGAACATAACTAATAGTAAAATATTTTGTAAATCATGTAAATGTTTAAATTAACATTTCAGTCATTATGTTTAAATTAAACTTAACTCAATTACTCAATTGTATTTTTGTTATGCGAATAAATGAAAAAATGAAAACTCAAAATGCAAATCTTGACATATAGGCAACAATAAAACAATAAATGCACCTATGAAAAAAATAATAATAAAACATAAAACTTTGATCTATAAAAACAAGTGATAAGTGATTTGTCTTCCTTCAGCACATATATCCAGTGGTGGAAATGGCCAAGATTCACTGGGAGGGCTGTAGATTGGAAAGGGTAGGGGGCGCAGGGAGCTAATAATGTAAGCATTAATATGAGCCCTTGTGTTTAATAAAAAGGGAGAATGATTCAAAAACACCATTTAAAAAATTTAGGAGCACCTTCTGATCAATGACAAAAAAATTTACCTTTACATTATGAGGTGATATTTGACTCCTTAGAGTGATTTGCAGGGGCATCTTTGTAATGTAATTTTTTCTAACGTTATTGAATGTGTCATCTATTATTTCAAATCCATACATTTATTATTTACATATTTTTAAAACTGAAAACAATAGATTGAATTGAACAATAAAAAGAGGCTCAGAAGTGGCATGAATGCATTTCAATTCAGCAGTATTATGAGATTAATGCTTTACATTGACATTTAGTCATTTATCAGACACTTTTATCCAAAGCGACTTACAAATGAGGACAATGGAAGCAATCAATATCAACAAGAGAGCAATGATATGCAAGTGCTATAACAAGTCTCAGTTAGCTTAACGCAGTACACATAGCAAGGATAAGAAAAACAAGCAGTTAGTAAATGAACAGAGTGCAAGTCTAAAAGGGGGCACGTTTTTTAAAGAATAGAATTAGAATAGAGCGCTAGAGTTAGATATAAACTTTAAATAGAAAGTTTGAAAATAGAAAAAAAGACATTTGAATATAGAAATATTACCGTAAATGATTTTAAGTACTGAAATGATACTTTAAAATGAAAATAAAAGGGCCAGTAGGTGGTGACAAGTCACTGTCTTTGTCACTGAATCATCCATTCAATCAATTTGTTCAAATGGCTGATTCATTCAGGAACGAAGCAAGTGACTACTGTCCTTGTGAATGGGTGATTGAATCATTGACTAGATTCGTTCAAAAATGCTGATTAATTCATAAACGAAACACCGCTATGTTTGCTTGGTAGATGCGGCAAGTTTTAAATGCAACTTTGTTTGGAACTAATTTCGTTGACGAAATAGATCAAAATCAGACAACAGTATTCCTAAAATGTACTAAAAAATATGGAGATATTAAAATAATGAATTAACATAATTCTAACTTCTTGTTTTTGAACTGCTGTATAAAATCAACATCACAATATATACCAACATAATTTTTTCCTAGGAATGGTTTGCATTTTAATGAGACATATTTCTTTTTTTTTAGACAGAAAATAAGGAGTGTTATGTTACTGACCCATTTATATACAGTATGTAGGCTATATGGGTCATTGATACAATTTTTTTTAGGGCTCGTATGTTGCTGTCATTCAAGCGAAATAAGAACATAACTAATAGTAAAATATTTTGTAAATCATGTAAATGTTTAAATTAACATTTCAGTCATTATGTTTAAATTAAACTTAACTCAATTGTAATATTTTATTTTTGTTATGCGAATAAATGAAAAAATGAAAACTCAAAATGCAAATCTTGACATATAGGCAACAATAAAGGTTGACATGCACCTATGAAAAAAATAATAATAAAACATAAAACTTTGATCTATAAAAACAAGTGATAAGTGATTTGTCTTCCTTCAGCACATATATCCAGTGGTGGAAATGGCCAAGATTCACTGGGAGGGCTGTAGATTGGAAAGGGTAGGGGGCGCAGGGAGCTAATAATGTAAGCATTAATATGAGCCCTTGTGTTTAATAAAAAGGGAGAATGATTCAAAAACACCATTTAAAAAATTTAGGAGCACCTTCTGATCAATGACAAAAAAATTTACCTTTACATTATGAGGTGATATTTGACTCCTTAGAGTGATTTGCAGGGGCATCTTTGTAATGTAATTTTTTCTAACGTTATTGAATGTGTCATCTATTATTTCAAATCCATACATTTATTATTTACATATTTTTAAAACTGAAAACAATAGATTGAATTGAACAATAAAAAGAGGCTCAGAAGTGGCATGAATGCATTTCAATTCAGCAGTATTATGAGATTAATGCTTTACATTGACATTTAGTCATTTATCAGACACTTTTATCCAAAGCGACTTACAAATGAGGACAATGGAAGCAATCAATATCAACCGTCACTTTTCACTCCATACAGATACTAGAGACTAATTGGAAGCGTTTAAGAATTTAAATATTAACCACTGAGTTGGATAGAATGAAGAACACAAAGTTTGATTTATTTATTCACCCTCAGTTTGTTCCAAACCCATATGACTTTCTTTTGCGAAACCCAAAAGGAGAATATTCATATAACTTTTCGATACAATAAAAAAGGATTGGTGGGAAGGTTTAAAGTCACAATGAAACGGAAGTAGTGACGGATCTTTTCTTCCATATTGTTCATCTGAGTGTAACAAAATATTGAAAAAAATTAAGTAGGGTGAAGACTTGGTTTTGTCCATTGGTTGTTTTAGAGATATGTGTTGCACTCAAAAGTTGTAAGCTTGCAGGCGTGGTATTTAAGCAGATTAAATTATTGGATCTATAATTATTAAAATAGAATAGGGTGAATTTTCACTTCATGTCAACTTAAATATGGGTCTGTTATACTTTTACGACTTCAGAAGTCCTTGAATCAGTGTTATTATCGTTAACTAAAATGAAAACCATAAAATACATTTTGTATACTTGACTTGAGGTTAGGCCTGTCACAATAACAACTTTTTGTTGTGCGATATAGTGCCCCAGAAATAATTGCGATAAGCGATATTATTGTCATTTTGAAGACCATTTTATGCCACTGAATATATAATCATAATGTAACAGCATAATAATGCAAGAAGGCCTACACACTTCCAAAGGACAACAAACTTTTCATTTTTAAGAATATTTAGATCATGGAAATTAAGTATCAAAATATTAGATACCTTAAAAAACTGGAATAAATACTAAAACATTTTCTAACAAAAAGTGCAAAGTAACAAGTAGAAAAAAAGAAAAATGCACAAAGAATTTGTCTGGAGATTTTTCCATCTACAGATTTTTCCCTGACCTTTTCTCTGTAAATTAAGGGTGCACACTATTGCTGAAAAACACAATCACTACTTAGCAGTCAGATGTCCATATGCACAAAGGCACAGATCCCTAAACAAGGCCATATCTGCAGATTAAACTTTGTTTGTAGAAGCATTTTTTAAATTTGAGCTAGCACCTCATGACTACACCACATTGTAGAAAAAAAACATGGTGACATTAATTTTTAAGTAAATATAATGGGCGATATATTGCGTCACCAAAAATGATTGAGGTCATGTACATATATTATATACAAGTCGATATATTGATTATTGCGACAGGCCTACTTGAGATTAAAAAAACGTTAACTTAAATAAAATACAAAAGAAACTTAAACTTGTTTTATTTCAGCTAGTTGCCAAGGCAACATTTAAAATGTTTATTCAGCTTAACTTAAAGTAATAAGTAATAAAATAACCACAACTGGAAAGTTAATAAAAACTAGCTATATAAAATCTAAAAAAAAATTACTAAAACTTTAACTCAAATAAAAAAGGGAAATATAAAAATCTAACCAAATTAATAAAATATGAATACAACCTATAATAGCATATCAAGGATACTAAAACTTCACTGTTTTGAATATTGCACAATGCACATCACTTAAATGGACTGCTTTTATGGTGCGTTTGGTCATTTTTTTGGAGCTCGACAGCGTCCGTCACCTTTCTGAACAGCATGAACTAACATCTTTTGTGTTCCACAGAGGAATGGAAGTCATTTGGCTCTGGAACAACATGAAGGGTGTGTAAATTATGATAGATTTTCGTTTTCAGGTGACCAACCCTTTAATTTACAACCAAACAAAGCTGTGGCACTTAAAATGGTATGTGACATTGTAAAAAAGGAAGCTAAGATACAAACCTGAGCCTTAACTTGGGCTAACTCAATCGAAATATCCACACCGGATGCTCTGGCCCCCAAGACCACAACGGACTTGTTGGTGAAGGGCTCTGGCTGTGTAAGACTTTCCCTGCAAAACAGCAGTGGAAGAAGGCACAGATAAGTGTAAGAAGATGACAGACAGAGAGATAAAAGGTGAGATGCAGGGGTGTAAATGAGACTAATGGTTGGGGCTTTCAGGGTTATGCATTTGTAGTGATCAGTGATCATTTGTTGTACCTTTAAAATGCTCTATTCCAGGAATGTAGGGCAGGTGGGGGTTGGAGTAATGCCTGCAGAAAGAGGAAGGAAATATGAGTCAGCGCTGAGATGCTAAAGGGCTCCTGTGGTCTTCTGAATTCCCTCAAAGAAATGCCACATGAATGCATAACATAATACCCATTCACATCACCTCAGCGAGAATTCAGCCAGATAAAAGCCTCTGGGTATATTATGGGGTAAATGAACATGCCACTATTTGAATAATGCTATGCATTTAGAACATCACCGCAAAGCTGCAATCGGAGATTAGATGCAGTTGTGTCCATTTGAGGATGTCTGGGAGATAAAAGGACTCTTTAAGATGGCATCCCTCACCCGTTGCAGACGAAAACCGAGTCGAATGTCTACGTGTTCCGGTCTCCACATGTGCTGCGCGAAATTACCTCTCACGTCACAGCTCCCCCCATCTCCGTCTCCATGGAGACGGGCTTCACCTTTTCCACCACGGTGTTGAACTGTGAGGGACAAAGCAGTCTGTCATAAGCAATATTCTTGCTTCCGTTGGTAAGAAAAATACTTAGTAACACTGAGAATGTTTCTACTGTGGTCTCGAAACACACTTGATGTGTCCTTCGATTTTGTGCTGATGTTGATGCCTTTGACAAGCAGGGGTCAGTGACCCCTACATACCTCCACGTCACAGCTCCCCCCATCTCCGTCTCCATGGAGACGGGCTTCACCTTTTCCACCACGGTGTTGAACTGTGAGGGACAAAGCAGTCTGTCATAAGCAATATTCTTGCTTCCGTTGAGAATGTTTCTACTGTGGTCTCGAAACACACTTGATGTGTCCTTTGATTTTGTGCTGATGTTGATGCCTTTGACAAGCAGGGGTCAGTGACCCCTACATACCTGATCAAAGAGGCAATCTATAATGATCTCAACTTTCTGGCCACAAGCGGTTCTACAACAATATTACCCTAATAGCCGTTTTTATTTGACTAATACAGTTTATTTAGTCTTATGTAGGTGGACTACGAGACGTCAGTAAATTACAGATTTACTGAGTGATGCATTGCTTTCTCAGATTTAAAATAAATGGATGGATGCCAAATAGCATTAGTCACATGATGATTTATCCACAATGTCAGTGAAATGCCTCAATGTGTGAAGACACGTCAATTTTAATTTTGATACTACCTCTCATACGTGCACAATTTCCAATACCATCAGTTTCCCTCATTATTATGGATTTTTTATTCTGTTCCAATCCTCAAATATCTAGAAACATTATGTATAGGTTTTGCAAAATATACAGTCACAGAGATAGTGATGGACTGGTTTTTAACAAGTTTACTCTGTATGGTTTATTTGTGTCCTGCTTTAGGCTTTAATAAACTTAAAGATAAAAACCTGCAAAGCCAATCTACGTTTCTTGCACTAAAAGAGTAATTTACTAGGGCATTGATTAAAGAAATAGTTTAGCCAAATTTTTTTTTATTATTTTTAATTTTTAAATCTACTCACCCTCAAGCCATCCAATATTGTTTCTTCATCAGAACAGATTTGGAAAAAAATTTGCATTACATTACTTGCTCACAAATGGATCCTCTGCAGTGAATGGGTGCTGTCATAATGAGAGTCCAAACAGCTGATAAAAACATCACAATAATCCACATGACTGCAATCCATCGATTAATGTCTAGTCAATTAATGTCAAAGCGAAAAGCTGAGTGTTTGTAAGAAACAAAGCATTTTAACTTTAAAATGTCACTTCTGGCCAAAATACACATCCATAATCTATAAACACTAGTGCTGTCAAATGATTGTGATTAATTGTTTGCATAATATATATGTGTGTTCTGTGTATATTTATTAGGTATATATAAATACACATACATACAGTATATATTTTGAAAATATTTACGTCTATATTTATATTAATATAATTTATATTATAAATAGATTTAATATATAAACACAACATATTTTCTGAGATATATACATGCATATGTGTGTATTTATATATACATGATAAATATACATAGTACACACACATATATTATGCAAACAAAAACTTTTATTTTGGATGCGATTAATCGAGATTAATCGTTTGACAGCACTAATAAAAACGCTTCCTCCAATGAAAAAGTCCATTCCCTGTTGTCTTCTCACATCATAATCCACCCACATGTGTGTTTAGAATTGATTATGCTTGCTGAGCTTGATCTGTGCATGATTCAGACAGGCAACTTTTTCACTGCAATATTATACGTCTATATTTATATTAATATAATTTATATTATAAATAGATTTAATATATAAACACAACATATTTTCTGAGATATATACATGCATATGTGTGCATTTATATATACATGATAAATATACATAGTACACACACATATATTATGCAAACAAAAACTTTTATTTTGGATGCGATTAATCGAGATTAATCGTTTGACAGCACTAATAAAAACGCAGAAGAAATAAAAAAGAAGTCCATTCCCTGTTGTCTTCTCACATCATAATCCACCCACATGTGTGTTTAGAATTGATTATGCTTGCTGAGCTTGATCTGTGCATGATTCAGACAGGCAACTTTTTCACTGCAATATTATGGATTCATGGATTGATAGAGGATTCATATTTTAGCCAGAAGCAACAGTTTGAAGTTAAAAACGTAATAATGATGAACTTGTTTTTTTACAAAAAATGCACATTTGCACTTCATAAAATGTTAATCGATGAACTGGAGTCGTGTGGATTACTTTTGTGATGCTTTTATCAGCTGTTTGAACTTTCATTCTGATGGCACCCATTCACTGCAGAGGATCCATTGATGAGCTAGTGATGTAATGCTACATTCTTCCAAATCTGTTCAGCAAATTTTCATTTTTCTATTGTTCAATTTTTTTATTCCTTTAAGCTTATTACAAACACAGAATTTAGAATTAAGACAAACATATACCTTGATATGACAAGCAATGTCATGTCTCTCACAGTATTTTTGAGATGGTCCTGGAGAACACAAGATCCAGGGGGCATGTTGGATCCAGATTCAACTCCTCCCACCTTACATATACCTAAACCTACCCGTCTCCACCCCCTGATCCCTAAACCCACCCATATCCACCCCTAAACCTACCATCTCCACCCCCTAGATGTGGATCCAACCCTAGGGGGTGGAGATGGTGGGCTTAGGGATCAGGGGGTGGAGATCGCCCCCTGGATCTTTGTTCTGCAGTGAGGGGCTACTGGTATATTTCCAAATACTGCTGAACCGACATATGGTGCAAAAAAGATGGCAGGTGGTCATCAAAGGGAAAATCAGGGTACATCATAATCTCCTTAGGCAAATTGGTTCTTAAAACAGATATGAGATTTTATAGTACATAAAGTTATAAAATGTACAAAAAATTAAAATAAATAAATTCCCTGCTCAAAAAAAAAAAACCTTCTTAAAGCTAGACTTGTTTGCTGCTCTGTTCTTAGGTTGGTGAGGTCTAGGCCTATTTGCTGGTTTTAATGGGGTTTGGGGTTAAATTTGGTTTGTTAGTTTGGAAGATCAGACCAGCTTGACCAGTCTAAACCAGCTTGAAAGCCACGAAAACATCTTAGGCCGGTTTAAGGAGTTTTTTTATTCTCAGCAGGGATAGGAACAACATTTGGCTCTCTACCTGAGATCTCTATACATACTGCTGTGGATGGGATATCCATTATCATATGTGCCCACTTGTTCCTCATAGAAGCACGTCCCACCCAAAAACACCACGGGTGGATCAAAGGCCTCGGGCCTAGACAGGATGTGTCGAGCAGCGCAAAGCCCCGCCGGCCCGCCTCCTATCACCGCTACACGAGCTTATGCTGTGTTCAAGTCGTCTTCTTCTTTTGTTTTTATTGGCGGTTGGCAAACAGCTTTCGCAGTTTTTTGCAGTAGACTCCAACACTTATCATCTGCAGATTTTTAAAGAATATTACTAATATTTTGCTCTCCGTTCTCTCTTAGTGCATTCTTTAAAATTTCTCTCTCTGAATCATACTTCTGGCAATGCAATAAAACATGGTCTACTGTTTCTTCCTCTCCACAATATTCACACTTTCCATTATTATGCTTTCCAGTCATGTATAAAGAACTGTTTAGACCAGTGTGACCATTCCTTATTCTTGTTATAACCTTCCCCTCTTTCCTATTTTGTCCTCCAGTTCCTATCTTTCCAACTAATGGAATATTTTTAAACAGATATCTCTTTTTGCTTTCTTTGTTCCATTGATTTTGCCACATCTTTTTGATCTGTCCCTTTATCTCCACCGTAGCTTCTGACTTGCTCATATTTATATTTATGTGCTTATTTCCACTCTTCAAAGCACATTTTGCTGCTTTATCTGCCTTTTCATTCCCATCAATTCCAACATGTGCAGGGACCCACACAAACCTAACAGACAAATTTATTTGATGAATTCAGAATAATGATTGTAGTATTTCAATCCTCTCTACTCCTGGAGTTGCAAAATTTTAAACTCATTAATGCTGCACATGAATCTGATGCAATTACCACTCTCTCTGGCCTGACCTCCTCTACCCATTGCAAAGCAATAATCATGGCCATCATTTCACATGCATATACAGATATATCATCGGTAATTCTCTTTCCACACTCAACATTAAACTCAGGGATTACTACAGCTCCTGCTGCTCGAACCATCGGTATAAATCTGTAAATAACCATAATAATTTCCTCTGATGTATGAATTAAAGATCTTATAATTTACCCCATATGCATCTCTCATCAGTTCAAGGAGGCTAAAATCTATCTCTGGCTGTGGTAAAAACCAAGGAGGTATAGTTTGCAGAACTACTGTTGGAGAGTAATTCCTCTCCATTATACCCATTTCAATTGCCTTTTTCCTAACAACCCAACCAAAGCTATTTATTTGTCTTTTTCCATGTTCCCAGCATGGTTCAATAGCACTTATTGCAGGATGGTTATGTCCTTGTAAATTCACCCAGTATGTTGTCATGATTTGCTGTCTTCTTAGCTCCAATGGCATTTCCCCCATTTCTACCTGTAACGCTGGCACAAATGTTGTTTTAAAAGCCCCACTACATATCCTTAACGCTTGTGCTTTTGTGCTTGTCAATCTTTTCAACAAGGTTTTAGATGCTGACCCATATACCACACATCCATAATCCATAACTGATCGTATTATCGTATTATATATAGTTTCCAAACTAGACCTGTCAGCTCCCCACTCTGATCCCACCAAACATCTCATCACATCTAAAACCTTTTTACACTTGTTTATGTCATTATCAATACGTACCTTCCATGTGAGCCTAGCATCGAACCACACTCCTAAAAATT